CACAAAGACTGTCTTTACTTAGGAACACAGACTTGACATACACAAGACTGCTATGCTTATGCACCTGTATACTTTCCCAAGAAATCACCAAGCTCCCTTTGGGCAATAGTCATCCCATGTCTTAGGCAGGGGAATATAAATTCTTATTCTCCTTCCAGATTGGGTTTTCCTGATTTGAGCATGTGGCAATTGTATCATGAAAATTTGGATCCGTCTTAATCTGCACGTTTGGTTTCTCTAAATCTATACAGAGATTTAGGAGCTCAACAAGAGCATATAATCAGATGAGTAAAGGGGCATCTGTGAACAAACTGAGACACAGAGTTCATGGCAGAGATTGGCAGACTGGCATGTCTGCCAGGTAGCATTCAACCGTGGCTTGCTCTGAGTACCTGGCAAATCCCACCTCCCTTTCCTTTCAAACCCCTAGGTCCTGCCTTGCAACATTGTTAAACTAATGGTGGGAAGTTGTGTATGTCTGGAATAAAGGTTTGAAATAAATATAAGAAATGAGAGGTTATCAATTAAGTGTTTATTTTTTGCTCGAAGTGAATGGCATGAGGCTAAAATGAGACATCTTCTGTGAAGGCAAGGGCGGTAGTGTCTGGCGGGTAACATCTCTTTTCCTCTTTCCTCACTTGCATGCTACCCAAATGCTGTTATATCTTTCAGATCATGTATATGAAATGTCACCTTGACCCCCAAAAGTGATACAAAAAGAACTACAATTTTGAGATTAAGTGAAAGATCCTCTAGGTGTTAAAGGATTCTAATATTTCTATTAGACTGAAATTTGGGACTGAAGTCCATATTGTTCCCTCAATCTATAGCTAATGGATCTATAGCAATCTACATGAAATTTAATGTGATGACAAAGAACCAAGTCATTGGTTCAAATACGAATCCAGAGAAACAATAGTCAACATTAGATTCAGGGGGGAAAATTACACAACACATAAGAAACTCCGTTTCCCTCCATTAACAATCTCAAATTACTTCAAGAACGTAACTTTCTTTCTTTCCTTGGCTTAAAATGGTCCCCAAAATAACTGGAGGCAAAACTGTCTTGTTAAAAGGTGAAGATTTGGGGTCTGAGCTACTCCGTGCTAAATATGGAGCCATTTCAAACCGTACAGCTCTTTCGTGTGCTGTTTCTCTAAACGGCAAGGCTGCCAAACAGCACTCCATGCTCTTCCCACCACCTCTAAATCTGGCACCGACTGTCACAGTGACACTGCCAAGCTGCCTCAGAGCGAGGACAGCCGAGAAGCCCTGGGCTTGCTGCTGCGGAGCTGAACCGAATAGCTCACCCCGTGGGGAGAGAGAGGAGCGAGATAGGCCCTGCAAACCTCTTTGAACTCCTGTCCAATCCAGGAGTCCATCTCCTCTACAGGGGTTGGTAGCTTTTTCAGGAATTTGTAGGACAGTCCCCAGCAGGTAGTAGTCCAGATAACTTTGGTGGTGCTCCGGTTAGATACTTGCACAAGACAGCTTTGATAGCTTCCTCTTCTCACCTCACCTTATTTTTGAGGGTGTTTCAGGCCTTTGTTTTGTTTTCATTTCACAACATCAGTTCCTTCAAGTCCCCTGAATATGTTAAGGCTATTTACATGTTTGTTCTTTACTACTCCCCTGAGACTTTTTAATCCTCTGCCTGGCTGGCAATTAAGGTGAAAGACTTAGGGCGGAGTTTTATAAAGAGGTGAAATTTTGAACTCTGGATTTTAACTGTGCCATGATTTATGTTAAATAATTCTTCTAGACAGGTCTATTTAAAAATTGTATTTACTAGTCTAACGTAAGTTTTAAAAAAATGCAATTGCAAGAACTCTGAGTTATAATGAGTTTAATATCTAAAAATAAATTTTAAAAGTTACCTGAAATAAGTAATTTGCTCTCCACAGATACTTGCAGTTTAAATAATAAATATTTGAATCTTCTAATGATTATTTTTCTTTAATGTTAGTGACAAGGCAAGGAAGACATCAAGACTATTATTGTCTAGCATTGTAAATATGAGTCTTGGTCCTGAAGATTTTAATTTTAGGATGGAAAAGTCAGATCTAGACGCTGTCTTTGCTTATTTGTTTTCTGTGCTTTCTTTTTGTCTGGAAAAAAGGTTCTAGTAGACTTGCTTTTTAAAAAATGTCAGTTGTTCTCCATTAGTACAACTCACATTGACTCACCGAAGATGTCTCTCTGTTTACCTGATAGGAAAGTCAATTAATTATCAAAATGCTCCCAAATAGCTGCAGATGCACTTCCCAGGTGTCTTGCCTGAAACGCCCTTTCTGTGGTAAGGAAATAGCAGTGGGAAACCTAGTCTAATCATTCTTCCCTGACTGTGTTGGACAAATATTTAAGGCCAATACATCTAGATTACCTGAATGTAGTTTTAAGATTAAAAAAAATAAAATGGAGTCTTTGGAATAAGTGGAATTTTCCCTGCAAATATTTCTGAATTAGAAGTAATAGAGGCACTAAAAATGCCAGAAAATCTAACACTTAAATGTTGGCATTTATATGACCACTAGAAGCCCAGTACATGAAATTTGTGCACTCGAGAGGGTGTGGGGGGAGTCCCTCAGCCTGGACTGTGCCCTCTCGCAGTCTGGGAGTCCTCGGGGGATGTCTGAATGACGGCTTAGGCCCGCTCCCAGCCTTCCTTAGTGCTACCGCAGAGGTGGGAGAGGCTCCCGCCACCACCGCTGCACTCGCCAGCCATGAGCCCAGCTCAGGGCATCTGGCTGAGCGGTGCTCCCCCTGTGGGAGTGCCCTGACCACCAGGGGGCAGCTTCTGTGTTGAGCATCTACTGCCTGGTGGTCAGTGTGCATCATAGCAATGGTCAATTTGCATATTAGCCTTTTATTATATAGGATTAAGTGAACTTGAATTTACTAGAGGGTTTTTTATGCATTTCTGTTTTAAATTTCTTCTGAATAACATTGACTGATTCATGGAGTTGACATCATTCTCCCGGGTAGAAATGCCCTTAATCCACTGTCATGTTTGGGAGTTTTAGGAACTGATTTAGTGTTTATTATGAAAAAAATTGATTTTTTAAAATTTTATATTTCCTTCAAGCTATCAGATAATTGATTTTAGAGAGAAACTTGTAGAAATTGCTTTTGCATATTTCATTGTGAGACAAAAATATTCTGACAGCTACACTTTGAAGGTCCTAAAATAGAGTGGTTAGTGAGCACCATTTAAAGTAACATTTGGTATTACCAAATGCCACCTGATATTACCAAGTGCCACCTTTATATTTTATATATGCAAGTTATCAGAAATAGATCTGAAAAAAAAAGTCTTCATGTAGCAGTTCTTAAAAGGCAACATTTTCTTCCTTTATATATTTGCTTTAACAGTGTCTCAGGGCACAAACAAAAAATTAGCAGGGACCTATTTTTTGACATTGGTTCTTAGGATTTTTTTCTGAAAACATATATACTCTCTTAGTGGTTTCCCTAATGCAAATTTCTGCATAAGAGAAACAGTAATCATCAGATAAACACTAGACTCATTACCAATTTTTTTGATTTTAATATGGCTCATATCAGGCAACCGCCCCCAAGAAATCCCAGATTTAGAAATATTAGAATCAAAGATCAGAAAGAGGTCAGAGAGCACTGAGTCCATACCCCACTCCCTTAATACACCCTATCGGGGTCTCATTGCCAGGACGAGAGCCTGAGGTGGAGAAACACAAGTGGACGAAGGTCTCATGATGACCTGGTTATCCAAGACTCTATGCTGGTGACTAAACTCCATGTCACTTTTCGAAATCTTGCAGTTTAGGAAAGAGACTGCCAGTGAGTTATGATACAGGTGAGGGGAGCTGAAAACAACAGGCTCCAATTTTTCCTGCCCAACACATACACTATGCACATCTCACAACACAACAGTGGCATGATATTTTATATCAGGGCTTTCCACAAGTAAAGATCATTGTGTGTTTTACCTTGGCAGTCTCTACAGCGGTGCTCTAGCAAAATAGGGAACATGCCACTGCATCCATGCTTTGTTTTTTAATACAATAAAACAGATTATAATAATAAACTAGAGGAATGTCAATCATGTGAAGTCAGGAAAATAAAATATTAATAAAATGACTGCCATTGACTGGGATGAGAAGCTACTTGTGATAATGTCTATCAGTAGCTTGTTAGGAGCCTAATGAGCCACAGGAAGTGGAAAGGTCACGCTGATGTGGAGGCATCATATGATCAGAATAAATATGGGTCCTGTGTTTCTTATTCATCTATTCATGTTTAATGAATGGTATGTTCTTCAAATTTCCTAGTAATATGTTTGTTCTTTACTCAGAATCCAATTATGAATGGATATTATAAAAGTTTGGCTTCACTAAATACCCCCCACCCCCTAAAGATAACCAGAAACAGATCTGTTTTTGTTATCTCTTTGTCTTACTGTGTTTTGTTTCAGGGCATATAGTGCTTGAAGGGAGACAAGAAATAGTCTCATCAATAGGATCACTTACATGAGACATAAAAGGAAAATCCCAAACCAATTTGTCAGATCATTGAGTAATCTTATTTTTCACAATGTTTAGAGATATTATAGATTATGCCATACCAAATAGTAAATCTCCCTTGAAAACCACACATATTGCTTGTAACAGTGGAAATAAATCTGCCCTCAGGTGAGAATTACTGGTGTTGAGCCAGACACAGCCATTTTGATAGCTGTGGAGTTCCCAACACTTCCCTCTATAGATTATAGCAAGTGGTAAATTTCCTTGGCAGAGAGCAAAGTCGAGGTACATCAGTATTTGTATTAGGAATTAAACAAATTGGGTAACATAACAACAGTGATAACTGCTTTCTCAGTTGATTGCCAATGTAGACATTATCTGGTCATTTCTAAGAGAGAAGAAAATTAATGTCTGTCATTTCTGCCCCCCACAGGTTCAGGATGCATTTAGATGCCGATTGAGAAACTGTCAGGATCCAATCAATGCTGATTCTTCAAGTTCTTTTCCTAATGGGCATGCGCAAATCATGGTGAGATTTTATTTTCCCCTGGTTGTTGATTGAGTTATGATTTCTAGGAAATAAACAAATACCAGTATTCTTATTAGTAAAATAGCATCAACGTCCCATTTTGAGTGACTTTGGCTTTAGTGCATTATCAGACGTAGAACTCTGATACTAGATAACTATTCTGTCTGGATAGCTTGGGAGTCCAGCATCCGTTACTGACCCAGTAGTGTACTCAGTGTGGGGCTTCTGTGAAACAGAGAGTATTTTTATTCTTGCACGGAATCAAGGATAACAATTTGTCCAAAGGGTCTTCTTTGTTTCAGGTCAGAACTATGGTCCTGCACTTCTAGTCTTAAAGTTGTGGCTTTCAGCCTTGGTTGCACATTAGAATCCGTTAGAATCCACACTCCGGACCAATGAGGTCAGAATCTCTGGGTTTGGATCCAGGCGCTGGTGGTTCCAATGTGCAGCCTCACATGAGAACTACTGCCCTAAACTAAAGGGTAGCCATGCTTCTAGTAACGGTTACTGGACACGAGCTCTGACTGTTGTTGGGATTAAGGGTACTTTAGATATAACCACTTTGGTATACTTTAGAAATGAGATAACTTTTAAACTATGTCATTAAAATCAAGAGTTATTTTACAATATATATTTTTACAATATATAAATTACATTTACTGGGGCAACATTTGTTAATAGCATTATAGAAGTTTTAGGTGTACAACGTTATAATACAACATGTATATTCCGTTGTGTGTTCACCACCCAAAATCTAGTCTTCTTCCATCACCATATACTTGTCACCCTCTGCATCCTCTCCTCACTCCCCATCCCCCTCTGGTAACCACCAGAATGTTGTCTGTATCTATGAGCTTGTTGCTTTTTTGTTTTATATCCCACATATGAATGAAATCATATAGTTCTTTGATTTATTAATCTTTTTTATTAGGCAAAATAAAAATAGTCAAAAATATACTAGTAACATTTAAGTAAAGCTTGAGAAGGAATAATTAATTCCTTATTAAAAATAAAATACTAATATCTTGAATTTAAAATATTGGATAAGATGGTCTAATTTATTTTTACCATTACAAAAATGAACTACATTATCTACACTAATAAAAGAGAAACATGGTAATTGGCGTACGACCGCTACCCTTCCCATTGGCTAATCAGCATATCCTTATGCAAATTAACTGTCAGCCAAGATGGCGGCCGGCAGCCAGGCAGCTGGAAGCGAACATGAGGCTTCCTTGCTTCAGTGACTGCAGACTCCAACGTTCCCCGCCTCACTTGCAGGCCTCTGAGTTGCAACTCTAAGCAACAATGTACTATGTTGCAAATAAGAAGCTAAACAAAACCCTAGAAACCAGCTTTCAGCCTGCCGGGATCTCAGAGCTGAAGTTATACATTGTTTCGATTATAGAACGGCAAACAAACCAGATACGAAGCCTCAGAGCTAGAGCCAGAGCTAAAGCTGGCCCAGAATAAAATAAAAAAAGAGAAAAAAAAGGAGCGGTTGGGAGCTTCAGTCAACAACCGCCAGCCTGAAAGCAGCCCTCAGCCCCTCACCCAGACTGGCCAGGCACCCCAGTGGGGACCCCCACCCTGAAGGGGGTGTGACCAGCGGCAAACAGCAATCATCCCCTCATCCAGGCTGGCCAGGCACCCCAGTGGGGACCCCCACCCTGAAGGGGGTGTGACCAGCTGCAAACAGCCATCATCCCCTCATCCAGGCTGGCCAGGCACCCCAGTGGGGACCCCCACCCTGATCCAGGACACCCTTCAGGGCAAACCAGCCAGCCCCTACCCATGCACCAGGCCTCTATCCTATATAGTAAAAGGGTAATATGCCTCCCAGCACCGGGATCAGCGGAGACTCGAGGCCTCTTGCCACCAGATCAGCGTGACAGGGGGCAGCGCCCAAACCCCCTGATCGCCCTGCAGCTCTGTGTGTGACAGGGGGCGGGGCCACAACCTCCCTATCCGCCCTGCTCTGTTCGTGACAGGGGAAGGCACCCCAACCCCCTGATCTGCCCTGCTCTGTGCCTGATAGGGGGGAGCTCCCCAATCCCCTGATTGCCCTGCGGCTCTGTGTGTGACAGGGAGCGGGGCCACAACCTCCCTATCCGTCCTACTCTGTTCGTGACAGGGAAAGGCACCCCAACCCCCTGATCAGCCCTGCTCTGTGAGTGACAGGGGGCAGCACCCCAACCCCCTGATCGGCCCTGCTCTATGGGTGATTTTTTTTTAGCCCCCCCCCCAGTGCACAAATTTTTGTGCACCGGGCCCCTAGTCTATATATATAAAAGCCTAAGTGACCATTACTGTCAGATGACTAGATGACCAGCCGGTAACTATGACGTGCACTGACCACCAGGGGGCAGACGCTCAATTCAGGAGCTGCCCCCTGGTGGTCAGTGCGCTCCCACAGCCAGCCTCCCACGGCCGGCCAACCTCCTGCAGTCCCTCCCCCTGGCCAGCCGCCCCCATGGCCCTAATCAGGACTGGGCCAGAAGGCCCTGATCGGCCCCAATTGCCGGCCAAGCAGAGGGACCCCACCCATGCATGAATTCGTGCACCAGGCCTCTAGTTTAAAATAAAAGTTTGGGGAAAATATGAAGATGGAAGTAACCTCTAGGACAGTGATGGCGAACCTTTTGAGCTCGGCGTGTCAGCATTTTGAAAAACCCTAACTTAACTTTGGTGCCATGTCACATATAGAAATTTTTTGATATTTGCAACCATAGTAAAACAAAGACTTATATTTTTGATATTTATTTTATATATTTAAATGCCATTTAACAAAAAACATTAACCAAAAAAATGAGTTTGCATGTCACCTCTGACACGCATGTCATAGGTTCGCCATCACTGCTCTAGGAGCTTGTAGGCCAGATTAGTATTGCTTCCTCTTCAATTTTAATTCCTAAGCTTAAAAGTCTTTTGCCACATTTGAGTGAAAATGGATCATTAGAAGAGACTGATTTGACTATTAAGGGTTTGACAGAGCTGTGCTATAAGATACAACACTTCAAACAATATACACAAAGTGAATGCTTAAAAATACAAATAACAAAGACATTTATCAAAGTGTATTCATAATAGTGCATATTTTAATCTTTTATTATAGTTTAAGGAATTGCCTTAAAATTCTGTCCTTAAAGACGACAATGGGTATTGTATTACTTCCTCAAAATTGTATGGCATGTTTCCATTGATTTTATTCAACATTTGGTCTCTAGGAAATACTCTTGAAAACAATTTTATTATTCCTTGAGAAAACTCCTTTGTACAAAACAATAACCTGGTACTGCCTAATCAGATATCTGTATACTTCAGGTAATCTGGTTAGTAGAAGTTATTTGAGGTCTTTATTAAATGATGATTCTATGCCTCGTTATTTTTTGTTACAGACAGACTTTGAAAAGGATGTAGACATTGCTTGTCGGTCAGGTAAGAATATTTGGATTTTGAAACTATAATCATTAGAGATGTGAAATCATTTTCATGGATTTTTTATTTTAAAGAAAATGCTGTGATTTGTGCATCACATGTTTGTGTGGTGAATAGAACAGAATATTCAGAGTTCTATTCATAAATAAAATCCTTCAAATAGAAATATTGTATTGTAATAGCAGAATGGGGGTGGGAAGGGAATGAGAGAGAGAGGAGAGAGAAACTAGAAATGGTTAATTGGGAGCACCATGACAGCAGAAAAGCATCGACTTGAAGATGTAAGCCCTCCCATTCCATTACTGGTTGTCAGGCCAATCTAGTCTCTCTGTGTCTGTTTCATCACCTATGAAATGTGGGTGTTTAAGGATGAAATGACCCTGTGTGTATGTGTATCATAGCCATTGTTGTTCTACTTTTAGAGGGAACAAGAGAAACCATGCAGCACACTCTGCCCTATAGTACTGGTGTCTCATTGACACTGTCTGTGATGGTTGTCTCTGCCTGTGGCTAAACTCTCACCAAGAGTAGACAACTCAAGGGTTTTAAAGGAATCCACATTTTAATTTTTGGATGACTCCAGTTGTTGAAATGTTCCTTTATATGGGGACAAAAATATACCTGACTTTACCTTTTATTCATTAGCTTTGTTGCCTCTAGAATAAGAGTGGATAGCTACTTCATCAAAATATCCCAATATTTGAGAGCAAGTATCATTTAGCCCAATCTAAGTCATTTTTCTCCAGGCTAAACAAACCATGGTTCCATATCCATTCCTCAGAGCATCTTTCCAGGCATGCATGGTGTGCCTGGTAACCTCCAATTTGTTAATAATTTTAATTTATGGTTCCCAAATGTATAGATATGTATCCAGAATTTATCACAGTTGGCTTTTTACTTTTACTAATGCTATCTACATTTGCATCTGGTTACATAGCTGTAATATTATATTAGTATCACCTAGTTGTCATCTAAAATGTCCAAAACTGTTTGTAGTGGCTATCAGAGTGCTCCAAGTCTAAGGTTATGTAAAAAATCTGCCCTTTGCATTTACCTCTATTTGCGATTATCTTACCAGTTTCAGGTTAGCATTCTATTCATTTGAAATTGTTTGGCCATTGAAAGTTTGATTACAATACCTTCTAATTCTTCATCTAAACTGTCAACAAGGAAATGAGACCGAGTGTAGAACCCTGCTATGTTCAGTAAGGCACCTCCCACCCACCACATGCAGGCTCCATCTAAGTGTAGTTTTCAGATTCAACTTATAACTTTCAACCATCTATGCAGAGTCTGAGATCACAGAGTTGTCATAATCACAAGAATTTGAGAGATTAATCTCATAGTCTCACTCCTGAGTATCGTCATAGCAAATCACAGAATAACTGTCATTATTAGGTAACCCATTGTGGACCTGTGTGGGCTATCAGGAATCACCCTATTCTGTTTAATATCTAACAAAATATTCCTAAGACACAGTAGTTGATTTCCCAAGTTTACCATTTCCCTCTGGAAAGTTGAGAAAACATTTTCCCTTGCTTCATCCATTTTCCATAATGTCTCAAAGATCACTAGCCATGGTGCCAGGGTTCACATCTGTGTTCCAAGGCGGAGTGTGATTTGTCTGGGTCTGGAAGCCTGAATTTATTTAATTCCTATTTACCTATCTTCAATTTAGTTTCCTTTGTACTACTTTTGGTGTATTATTTACAGCCCTCCTTGTTAGAGAAGCCAAATAGGAGCTGTTTTGTCTTCCTTTAACAGCTATTAACATTAAACCAGTGGTTGTCAAAGTGTAGTCCCCAGACGAAAAGTGTTAATGTTACCTGGGAACTTGTTAGAAATGGAAACTTTCAAGCCCTATCCTAGACCTACTCTGTAAAGTAATCAGTGTTTTTACTTGCCAGCCAGGTAATTCTGATGCATTCGAACTGACACAGAGACCATATTTTAACCCATCCTAACCCAAGCTTTGGTCTCATTTCTTAAGTATTCATTTGTTCTCTTTTGTTAAATTACCTATTTTTCCCCAGAATTCACTGCATTCTGAGGTTTAGTATTCCCAATACCATTATTTTATTTGAAAATATTGTTTTGAATGTTTCCATTTTCTGCCTGTGTCCATTTTATATGAGCTCATCAGGAATTTGCCTTTGAGTTTTTCTGTCCACGTTGAGGTATATTTGGTTTTAAAGTCTCAATGCAGACTCTCAATAATCTTCCTTTAAGTTTAATTGAAATTCACTTTCCCAAACGTTGGATTATATATCTGATTGTGTAAGATATTCAGGTGTGTTTTGTTTTGTTTGCCTTTTACACCTTGAATAATTTAAAAAGTCCATCACTTCAAAATCATGTTTGTAGATAGTATGGATTTTTTTATGTTGTACAATCAAATTTTGGATATCCATTTTAAGCAATTCTAAGAGGCTGACATTTATTTTATATAGAGTAGATACTACTTCATGAGAAGAGTTGTCTTTCCCCAAATATTTAAGATACATACATTTTCAATAAAGATGGCTATGCCATTTAATAAAAATGTGCTGACTATAACTTTAAATCATATTACATTTATACAAAACTAAATAAACGAATCTTATATAAATGCACATTATAAAATCAATATTCAGTACTAAGATTTCCTTTATAATATATTCATAAAAGTATAACATTGTATGTCCTTAATGCAACATGATAGGTTCTTATAACTAGCCTTTAAATTTTACTGCTATAAATTTTGGATTAAATAGTATTCTTCCATGAATGTGAAGACTTTTAAAAATATTTTATTTAAAATATCATTAGTCTATTAATTTAATGTACTTTGCCCTTTAGTATTTTCATGTAAGTTGTTTCTGGCAACCACAATTTATTACCAGTCTATTATTTTAAGAGGTTTGGAAATAATTCTTTTAAACTAAATTATTCTAATACAAAATTCACAACCAAATTGTGGGTTTAATAAAAAAAATGGAGACATCACATGATTTTTTGTGTCTAAAATAAAGAGATCTAATGCAATAATTAAATACAGTATCTTTAAAGATAAAAAATATTACATGAATGATGCATGTTTTGAAATAATTTTGAAGGCTTCTCTTCTTTGTAATAGAGAAACACATCAATAGTCTATTTTTCAACCTCTGCTTTAGTGCACAATAATTAGGATGCTATTTGATAACAATATACCTGAAACCTCTCAAGCAGAGACAATAAGCCAAATACTTTACAATTATCTCTGCCTAATGACATTTTCAGTGGCGATGCTCTGCTTTGTAGATAGGGCAGCATTAGGTGTACACATTGAGCCAACTTGCACACGGTGCTGTTCTGTGCGCTTTCAAGACCCAAATTACCAAGAATGTTTCTTCAGAAGTGAAAGTTTTTTACAACTAAGCATGCTTTGAGTCATTCTGCCTCTAGTGTGCGTAAAATATGGCTTTCTTTTTATAGAGGCAGGAAACATGAAAATATAGTTTAATAAAGAATTCTGAACTTTCATTGAGTGTTTGGTTTATGTATTCATTTTCTTCCCTCTCTTACTGTAAGTTATGCATTTTTAATTCTTTTCTAGGTCATTATTTTTCAGGTTTAAAATGAAATGGAGGTTTTGGAAGCTCAGACAGTTTGCTTGCTTGCTTAAATTCAGCAATTTTAGTACCCCCTGAAGGGCATTCTAGCATATGGATTGATCTTGTAAAAGGAATTCCTTTTCCTACATGGAACTGAAGATGATAAATACTTTTGAACCCTGCATCTACCTTGACCACAATGCTCGTTAACTTTCAACATGAATAATTGTTGGAGGGATTTCTGATGCTTTAGGATGAATTCTTATTGATTACTACCTCTTTAAAGAAGTATTTTAATGATCACAGCTTTAAAAACCTTTACAAAATTGCCATATTTATGTGAAATATATCTATAATGTCATAAAATCCTATGCAGTAGAGTTGTTAAAGGACTGAGATTTTTGAAAGTCCATTAATCAACTTTGGGGTATGCTTTAGCTATGGGCTACCTGAGATCTATGAGAGTGTATCAAAATCAATAATATGAGTAATTGTGTGTTTGAGTAAAATGGACCATGTACAAACAAACAGTAGATATGTTATTTTTAAATATTAGCTTTTCATTTTATTAAGGAAATAGTTTAGTAGAAAGAGGACAAAGTACAATAAAGAAAAGCAGACATGCATAACTTTCATATTTGAATTTACAGTTCTTCATAAGGATATTGGTCCTTGCCGAGCAGCAACAATAACAGGGACACTCTCTAGGATTTCTTTAAATGATGATGAAGAAGAAAAGGGAACAAACCCCGAAGAGCTCAGCTATTCAACATTGCCTGGAAATGTCATTTCTAAAGTCATTATCCAGCAGCCCACGGGTTTGCACATGCCCATGAGTATGAATGAGCTGGGCAATCAATGTTTGAAAAAGGAGAACAGTGAATTGCGGAGAACTGTGTACTTATGTACAGATGATAATTTGAGAGGGGCTGATATGGACATAGTCCATCCTCAAGAAAGAATGATGGAAAGTGACTACATTGTGATGCCCAGAAGTTCTGTAAACACCCAGCCATCAATGAAAGAGGAAAGCAAAATGAATATTGGCATGGAAACCCTGCCACATGAAAGGCTATTGCACTACAAAGTAAATCCTGAGTTCAACATGAATCCCCCTGTTATGGACCAGTTCAGTATGAACTTAGATCAGCATCTTGCACCCCAGGAACATATGCAGAATTTACCCTTTGAGCCCCGCACAGCTGTGAAGAATTTCATGGCCACTGAGTTGGATGATAATGCAGGACTATCGAGAAGTGAAACTGGATCGACCATATCAATGAGTTCTTTAGAGGTAAGCAATAGAATAAACTTTTTCTTGGCATCTGAAACATAAGAGATTGATGTGGTCCTGGACAGAGAGAGGAGTCACATTACCTTTTGCAGTTATGTATCCATAAGAATTTTTGGCATGTTGGGATTAAAATAGTCTGAATGTATGTGTTTTTTTTTCCAGTAGTGCATCAGAATCCTCTTTCTCCAGATCTTGTTTTTAAAAAGGAGCCCTCCCCCCAGGGCTGCTTCCCCGCCTTTGCTTAGTGAAAGAAAGGGCCCTCTGGGCCCTAGGAGGAGCCACTGGGTCCTTCTAGATCAGCGGTTCTCAACCTGTGGGTCACGACCCCTTTGGGGGTCGAACAACACTTTCACAGGGGTCGCCCAAGACCATCGGAAAACACATACATAATTACATATTGTTTTTGTGATTAATCACTATGCTTTAATTATGTTCAATTTGTAACAATGAAATTGGGGGTCACCACAACATGAGGAAATGTATTAAAGGGTTGCAGCATTAAAAGGTTGAGAACCACTGCTCTATATTAAAAAAAGATACCTAGAAGTCATAATTCTTCATAAACCAAGTAGAGCACTTATAAGGAAAAAACCCAGAAGACCCTCCTGACATCTCCCAGGTACTAAAGGTCTTTTGGTGGTTAAGGAAGTTTCTGGATAGCACTACAACTTAAACCAATTCTGGATTTTCTGTGTGAGGGCAGCTGTTAAAAATTGGAATGTGATTACCATTACACTGATTATAAACTATTACTATGTTAGATCAGTGTCTCTCAAAGTAAATGTTTTGCTCTTCACTCTTACAGAATGATGACCACTAAAATTTTTGGTCTTTAATTGTGACCTCTCAGGAGGGATATAAATTGAACAGGCTAAGAGTCAGGACTCAGGGGTCCAACAACATGGCTTTTGTAAAAAAGCAAGCTCCTCTCAGTTTCTTTTCTACCCGTAAAGTAAGTAGACAATAGTCAACAACGATCAAAATCTTTCATATTGTATTATAGTCAATCAAGTAAGATCTAAGGAATATAATGTCTTCTGTTTTATGTGCGACTTTTTTTATCCTTTATCTTGAAGTTTTGTTGTAAAGTCACTGCTGATATATTTACATGTGTTCAGTATACAATGTGATATATGCACTCTTTTATATGTATTACTCACTTTTTTAATCTGAGGTTATTTCATAAGACACTATAATTCGTTACCTACCCTTCTCCTCAGAAGTGTGCTGATAATCGTATGTTCTGGTATTCCAAAGTGCCCAGGGGCAACTGTCTCTTCCTTCACCCCACAAAGTCATGTCTTCTAGGTTGAAACAAAGAGAGATCCTGAAAGACCAGAGTAACTTGGTGAGTGGTATTATTTTGAGGTTTTTCCAAACTGAATCAAGGAAATTGTCGACCAAAATGAGAATATACACAGGATTTCAAATAAATTCCCAAATTCTAGATCTTAAATGGAATGGGATTTCTGAGGAGAATCATCCTTCAGAACCAAAGGCACAGGGCAATGAGGCCAAGTTCATTGCGGAGTGGCTGGCTAGAGCAGCCTCTAACAAAAGCAATCCCTCATTCTGATTTAGCAGAATAATGACTGTTTCTCTTGTGCTAACTTGATATAATAACCTAACATCATAAATAAGCATAATTCAGATGCACTACTGGAAAAATCATGACCATATGTAGTCTTCTATTTAGAATGGTTCTTTAGATGTACTAAAGGGGTAAGAAAGAAATTACATGAAATATTTTACTTGTTATAAAAACACTTTACATTTAAAAGCCTAAAAATCTTTCTGTGTTTGATATTGTACAGGTTGTGTGTACTTGAACAATAGACTGTTCAATTTGTAATTTGTAATTTTTCTAAGTCTCCATATCCTTATTAAGTACAGCTATGATTCAGCCAAAAGATCTGCATTTAAATGACTTGGAGATCACAAGGTTTGTATCTTGAGAAGGAAGAAAATTCAGGTTTCAGAATGAAAAGTCAATTCCTCATTTTCATTCTTTAGAAGAGTTTCATAGTTAGTCTAATAGTTAGGAATTGCTTACAGTAACCATTTTAGGAGACAGCTAGCTGAAAGAAAATATATAGATGTGGGAATGGATAATAAAAATTAGCATTTATATAGCATCTTTCATTAGCAGAGCCTCAAATCACCTTAAAAACATGAATTAATCTTCACAACACTTCTGTGCAATGGATAAATTGTTATAATCCTTAAAGTCATTTGTTCAAGGCTACAGAGCAAGTGTATAGCAAACCCTGGAATAGAATCTTTCTGTCCTGATCAATTTTACAACTCTCTAAAGGGACAGCAATGTGCCTGAACATTAGCCTGAGAGTAACTATAAAGTTCACTTAACCCTGACTGACACTTGCTCTTAGAGTGGATAAAGACATGAAGTGGATCAAGTGTAGGTGTATATAACTTCAGATTTTGGAGATAGGCAAGTCTCCAATGACAAACCATGATAATAAAGTCAGTGGTATGGCTTTCTTAATGAGCAGAGAGATGCATTGTAAGAGTTGTCAACTCTGCTAGGCTGTATCTATAGGACCAACCAATGGGGAAGATGATATTCTGACGACAGAGAAAAATCAGAAAGATAACTAGAGTACCTGCGTGGAGAGTGGGGGTTAATAATAGCCAGGAGGAGAGAAGTCTTAGTGGGTAGATATGTGGATGACATGAGGCATAGGCCATAGAACAATTTGAGTCTTGTCCCTCTCTGAGTGAGAAGGGAGACTGCAGCCACAGGGATGGTCAGATAGTTTCAAGGCTAGAAAGATGTTATTATTAATTCAGGACATTTCCTCTAGAGAAGTGGGTGTTCACAAATTACCCAGGTGGGAAGTGATGAGAGAGAGAAAGAGCAGGGTAAAAGCTACCAAATGTAGCATAGAATGCAGTATTAGAGAGGAAAAGAGAAGGGAGAAAAGAGAAAAACCAAAGAGTGGGTGAAAGTATTTATTCAAATAAGCAGGAGGCAACATAAAAGAGGGAGGCTCCCCAATCCTGAAGGCAGTGCCAGCAGAAAAGGCTCCAACCTCCCGGGGAGTTTGTTCAGCTAACCCTTAATTATTGAGCATAGAAAGCATTATATTTTCATGAAGTTTCTTGGCATGAAAAATATTGTCTCCCTGCCTCATAGTACCTTGTTTTTTCTCATCTTCTTTCTTCCACACTGTATCCATTCCCAGAATGGACTTGTTAAACAATTCTGAAAAATTTATATTTAGTTTCCACAATTATGGATTAATTAAAATATTACTATGGTAGAATTTCTCAGAATGGCTCTAATTTCTTTGCTTAAGAAAAATGAAATTATCACCAGCATTTAAATTATTCACCTTCAATTAATTAACAAAATGTGTTGAGTGTATAGTATGTACATAAAGAAAGCAAAAAGATACTAGTTGCTATGGAAAAGTGGGGAGAAAAAGAGGTATCATAGTTCTCAAACCACTGAGGACTATGAAATATATTTCAAATCTTATATTGTGGTTCTGTTTATTTTTTGAAAAAATATAGGTATATCATTGTTAAGAAGATAGGTCAGTAGTTGTTTTGAATCAATGGAACACTGGTATATTTTTTCAACAGCTTGTAGCTGTTAGATCTAGATAGTAAACATTTCTTCACCCAGCTGTCTTCCCAACTTGCCTGCATGTCCTGAGCCTGTTTGGCACATGATCTATTCATCCTTTTCTCCTGTATCACTCAGAGTAGATACAGGCTTCTGTGTCACTGGCTTCCGGCCAGTGAGAAGACTGCCAATAGGAAAGACAAGAGAGAGATTGGAGGTGGGGGAGAAGAGAGAATCCCAGGATATTTCTCCCTGCTCTCTCTGCTTTGGCAGCACCCTGTGTCTCTTTAGCTGCAGTTCCAGAGTGCTTGTACCTGGTCCCTGGGCTCAGGTCATTGTGCCATCTCCCTTTGTCTATCCAGCCTGGCTGGGCACAGTGGCTTCTCTTGCTAATATCTAGGTTACCTCATGGTCCCTTATATGGCTCCACATCACTCGAATTCTTATGAAACACATTAAGTGGCTTCTATTCCTGTGACAAATCTTGCCTTAAGTTCTATTAATAAAGAAACCCTTAATAGTTAATCAGAGGTAGCTAGATTACAAAATGATTTTTATCAAAAACAAAGCTCCAGTTTTGTCCATCTTATCTAATAAAGAGGGAATATGGAAACTGACCGTCACACTGTCACAAAGATGACGGTGCCCAATCCCCTTAGCCCCGCTGGAGTCCCCCAGTCCTTTCAGCCCCACCGCTGAGACAAACAGCAGGGCGCCGGGGCTTCGTTGCTGCGATAGTGGCGAAGCCCCCAGTCCCCGTAGACAGAGAGCGGACAGCGGGGCATGGCGGCTTCGTCGCCGTGGCAGAGGCGAAGCAGCCAGGCCCACAGAGAGCAGAGAACCACGGGGAGTGGGTCTAAGTAGAACATCCCCTGACGGCTCCTGGATTGGAGAGGGTGCAGGTTGGGCTGAGGGACACCCCCCCCCCGCCTGTGCACGAATTTTGTGCACTGGGCCTCTAGTTTATATATAAACTTAGCTATATATCTGAAAACATGTCAAATAATCTCTCTCAATTTAAGTAGGTGAAAAGGGCCACCATTCCTAAGCTAAATTTTTGTTTCCCAATTTTCCTCTAGACATGAATTGTAGGGCTCTCACAATAATGATTTTCAGAGATAAAACATTTTAGGTATAATGTCACATCACAGGTGCCTCCCTTATGGCTAGTGTGAGGATCAAATTAGATAATGTATGTGCAAACCCTTTGAAAATTGTAAGGAGTGCTTCAGATGGGAGGTTGTGTTATTATTTTACTACCATTACACCTTTAATGTCTGTGAAGAGGCTTGAATGCTGGTCTAAATCGATATTCAGGATATTAGACAAAATGTTATGGCCTCACTTGAGAAGTAGGAGACAGTCATGTAGGAGACTGTCATGAATAGAAACCATCAGAACTGACATTTGCCAAAGCAAGTTTTTTTTTTTAATTTTTTTATCTGTCATGTAGGAGACTGTCATGAATAGAAACCATCAGAACTGACATTTGCCAAAGCAATTTTTTTTTTTAATTCTTTTCTCATATGGCTGTGAGGAAAAGAAGCCTTGGCCTTCTTTAGCGTTTTGGTTTTACTCCTGAATTAGGGAATTTTATCTTTTGTGCTGGCACACAAACAAAATTAGCTTAAATAAAAGTCATTTTTTAAAATTAATTACTCAAGTTTTATATTCACAGATATTATAAACAGATTATTAAAGCTTTCTGAGTGAAAAACTTTGTAAGAGAATCTTTTAATGGCAATCACATTGCATTTATTAGTCAGTGGAATATATTCCTCACTGAATCTCCTAATGTCCTGTCCAGCTTAATGTGCAGTGACACAAACAATGAAGTATTCCCTTTGAGAGAGTATTCATTATTCTATAAGAACTACATATGTAGCGATGCCTCTATGCATATACTCACCAAAAATTGCTCAGAGTAGCCTCATACCATCCTGCATTTTTTCTCTTCTATTAGTGATAAGCCTGGTTTCCTAAAAACTGTCTTGATTCTCTTGGCTGTCAATTGATCTATTCATAATGGTTTTGTGTCATCCACCTACTTCTCCAAATTCTCCCAGAGTATTCCTGAGGGGAAAAAAACAAACCAAACAAGTCTCATTCCTTTGGATTTGCTCACCTGCCACAGTGAGGTGCCTTCAATCATTCATCAATAATTTTGTGAATCTGTGCTTTTGTGCCAGGGCCTCTGCTAGATGTTGAGGATATAAAAGTGATCAAAACAGATGGGGATCCTGCCCGTGTGGTAGAGATAATTAACCATTAACAAATGAATCATCTAAAACTCTGTAGTGTTCTGAGTGGAATATGAAGGAGAGACTTCTTTATCTAAGGTGGTCTGGGGAGCCTTCTGAAGTATAAAGGGATTCAGATGAAAAAACAACAACAACAGTGCAGAGATACTGAGCTAAGAGAGAGCTTGGAATATTCTCATAGGATTAGAAGACCTTTGTAGCAGGGGGTGAGCTCTTTAAGATGAAGTTGGAATAGGAAAAGAGCAGATTGTGCAGGGTCTTCTAAAACAATGGAAGCAAGTGAGGATTGTCTATCATTTCTCTATCCATCGACCCCTTTGATGGATTGGAAGAGGAAGAATTAGGATCCCGTGGTTGGAGAAAAGGAACTGGAACAGAAAGCTGGAGAACAGTTAGGAGTCTACTGAAGTAATCCATAAAAGTGATGCAAGTAGAGATAGAGGGAGTGGGTGGATCAAGAAGTATTTTGGAGGTAGAACAGATGGCTCTTACTGATGGATTTGACATGCAGGATGAGGAACAGAAGGAAGAAAAGGGTGATTCCTCAGTTTCTAACTTGACCAATTAGATATACAACTTTTTCAGTGATGGGGGGTGGGGAAACAAGAAGAAAGAGAGTGTTTGAAATTGAAAGGATGGTATTTAAAACCATGAGATAGATTCTATTTTCCGGGAGAGAACTCCACAATAAGAAGGCAGGGAGATGAGAAACAGCCAGCAAAGGAGACTTGAGATTGATCCACAGCAAATAAGAGGGAGGAAAAAAAGGAAAAGCTGACCGATGTTGAGTGTTTTAATGAGGAAACGATTAACTTTCCAAATCTTCTGAAAGTCCAGTGAGATGAGGACAGAAAACTGACCTGGAAAATTGGCCAGACTGAACATTCCTATTTTCCCATCACACCACCACTCTTCCAGTGCCAGATATTTCTTTAAGGTAAAGTAGATTTTGCAATAGGAGATGGAGAAGTCAGCTACTCTTTGTCAGGGTATCCTATATTAGAATAGATGTTATTTTACTCAACACTAATATGTATATTGTCATCAGATTTTCTCTTTAAAGTATCATATTGCTATGTTTTCCCTTAAAAAATAATTGACAAGTTAATCTGGTTACCTTGCTTTATGCTTAGAGAGCATCTCTGTCCTCTGTTGTCAGTCTTGGATTAACAGGGTCCTCTAATGTTATTCTTGATGATTTCTAGTAACAATCTGCAAAATATAACAGGCATCTTTGCTACAAAAATATTATCACTTGTACCACTGAGCGGTTAGTGAGAGGGTGGAGAAAACGCAAGGTTTGGAGTTAGAAGACCTGAGTGTGAATCCCAACTCATTTGCTCACTATCCAGGTGAAGTGGACAAGTTACTTTAACTTCTCTAGTCGTCAGTTCTCTCATTCATAAAATGGGGATCGTAAATAATACTTTCCCAACCATCTCACAGGGCAGTCAGCATGTTCATATGTGAAAACACTTTATAAGCTATAAAAGGTTGGGACACTTGGTCAGTATTGTGGGGATATGCATATTACACCAATTTTGACCTCTCTTGGGCTCTGAAAATTTGCCACATTTTCCCCACTCTCTCATTTTTAAGTCTTCACTGCTTTATTTCCCATCTTTAGGCTCTTTTGATAGAAATCTGCTTCATTTGTTTATTTCTTAGTTAATCCCTCAAGGCTGCCTGTTCTGTTACATACCTTTATGTTAGAATTTAATTTTAGTAAATGGAAATGGAAGACAGGGTAATCTATTTGTAGGAGTATATCCATTTTCTTTTCCATATTTCACATTGACATAGGTGACATCTGCTCTAGGAAGCAGAATCTCTGGTGTTTTTCTAGGTTCCCATCTTTTGTTCTTGCTCATAAGACATGGAGCCTTTAGCAACACAGCTTTGCATTCAGAAACAAAGAGGCACCAGAGAATTCCTCAACGTGTACAGCAGAAGGGCCTCTTACTCTCTCGCTAGCTGAACCTTTTTCATGAGATTTCACTATTCAATTTTCAAATAGAACACAAAGCTCGTGGCTAATGTTCCATAATAATTGCTTAAAGCTAAGTGTTTCCCTACTTCGATCGGCTGTATTAGGAAATAATTTTGCTTAATGTATACTTACAAAAAGCATCCTGCTGAATCACAGTGCCAAGAAGGCAACGCATCCAAGAGCCGAATGGGAACACTGACATTTAATCTAGCATAGTGCCGTTAGATAACAGCAGTGGCAGGGAGATGACAATGGAGGTCTAGGTTAAATGCCTGCCCACTCCCCTCCTTCCAGGATGTCACCAGGGCGAGGCGAGGCGAATGCTGGGGACACGGGGCAAAGGGACATCAACGTGCTGAGTTTCCATTTAATTTGACGATATATGAAGACAGGCTTCTCCATCCAGCTCCACCAAAATCATATTATTTCAGAACTTTTCAACTTTTTTTTTTAACAGCAAAATTATTGTTTTGGTATATTACCTTCTGTCTACTGTAACAAGCTTTGGGGAGTTGGTTACATAGGGAGGGTCTGGTTTTACAGTGACCATTTTAACGCTAGTAGCAGAAATTTAGTCAGGTTTCTCAATAAACTACGAGTGCCTTTCTGTCTCTACTAATGTTAACAGTTACAAGAGTCTCCCACCTAACTTGGATGTGATTCCTTGTTAAGTCTCTGTACTTAAGACTGTATATATTGGGAGAGGAGAAGCGGAAAAATTAAAACAGAAGTTTGTCCAAAGGTTTAAAGGTTTAAATATTTTTTACAATTGCCTGAAGATTACTTGTTTTGATTATTTAATTTTTCCTGTTTCATCCCCATTCCCTCCCCCACAAAAATACCCTATATTGGAAACTTGCTTTGTACTAGAAAATTTGGAGGACCTTTCCTATATTTGTCAGCCATCTCCTTTTATACACAGTCATCCTATGAATCCAGCGACTTCTTGGAGCAGATGCTAAGAATACCCTTCCCTATGCTAATAAAATATCATCACATTAATTTCATTTTAATTATGTTTACCAATTTTTATCAGGCCTGCTGCCTAATTACTTTATTTTATTTATGCATATTTATCTCTATTATAGGAACTGTTTAACAGAGCTGGAGCCATAGAATAGCTCTGTGAGCTATTATATCTATGTTTTGCTGGGGTGTGGACTATTTATTTGTTTTAGTAAATTATGATTAAAAACTTGACATCGTAAGGAAGGACCAGCAATTAGAAGGACTTCCTCCCTCCTGTGGAGGAGTATAAAAAAAATAAGACATTTGTTGGTGAGATTTATATAGAACTTTAGAGTTTAGTTGGTATGAGGTCTTAAGATGGCTAGATGTTTTCTCCTGCACAGCATTTAATCTCTTTTGCCTCCAAAGTAGTTTTACTATACTAGACCTCAAGTCTCCTTCAATATTGAAATTTTTGTGACTTTTCAAAGAAAAATTTCACCTTACTAAAAAATTAGAGTTAAGAGATAAAGATGAGAAACATTTTTATATTCTTTTATATGATACATAATGTTACATTTGATATAATGTGTATAGAATAGTTTGAAATCATAAACCTTTTCACATTATTTTTATGAGAAGGCAATACTTATAATTTTACTGAAAATAATTTTCATTTCAATGACTAAATACAACTTTATTGGTTTTTCTTCTTTTAAAAAAAATCTAACAGAGAAGAAAATCACGATATTCAGACCTTGACTTTGAGGTAAGTTTCTAAGATTTTTTAAAAATAATTTTAATTACTTGAATTTAAAATTGATATATAATTACTTAAACACATTACTCTGTGCAACTATGTCGAGGTTCTTTTCTAAATTAAATGAGAAGTGAAAAAATTTTTAATTAAAACCTATATTAGTTATAGAAAAAAATTTAAAGCTCTAATTACTTAAATATATGCTAAACAGAGATTTTCCAGACAAGTGAGGAATCATTTTATAAATGGCAACATATGTGGGTAACTTATGGTAAGGCCTGAACTTGGTCAGTTCAGTTTGCTGGGAGGTGGGAATGTTCGATCTTTAATCTTTCATATTTAAAACAATTATAACTATTTTACTTCGTGACAGCTGTAAGAGAGACCATGGGGATGCCTTGGCTGGTTAGCTAGGCTTTCTCTGGGATTTACTTGCCTGTGTCTTGATTCCTATTATTTAGGTTCTCTCAGGTACATTCCAGATTCTTTTTTCCAATAGCAAGTGTAGGTTCAATCTGCTCCTGTGTTTCGTAAATGCCTTTTCACAGATATAAAGATGAAGATCTTCATTTTCCAATTTACATTGAATTTATATTGGTGCTGCAATATTGGTGCTAGAAATTACTGAAATCATGTCATTTGAACAGTTTATGCTAAGCACAAAATTAATGATGTTTGAGCATCACATAAAATGCACTTATGCATCTTGATAATTGGAGATGATTCATAGCCTGCTGACATAATTGGATATACTACATCATAAATTGCTCCAACATATTTGTGCTGTTGTGATGCTTACATAAAACAATATTCTTAGCTGATATTCCTAAAATTATGGGAGCCTCCTAGAACATGGCAAGTCATAATTTAATCATTTCATTTACGTAAATGAATGTTGTTGCTCAGTAACATACATGAGGCATCAAAAATGAGATTTAATTGTTTTTATTTACTGCAATGGTAAACAAGGTCTGGTTTTACCCTGAATAGAGTAAAAAATATAAGTCTTTTTTAGAAATATTTCAGGAGTATTTGTATAGGATACTAAATGATGATAAAGAATGTAGCAGTTAGTACTGACATGGCTCAATTGTAGCAATCTGACATGGGATGAATATTTTATTATATCCTAAGTTTTTATGGCAAAAAGATAAGGACTATAAATTCAAAGAGAATAAATTCAGCAATCTTCTACTTTTAAGTTCTTTAGTACTTTCTTGTTGTTGTTAATTCTCACCTGAGGATATTTTTTCCATTGAAACAGAATGAAAGGGAGGGGGAGAGACAGACACATTGATTGGTTGCCCCCCACATGTGCCCAAGCCAGGGATAGAGCCTGCAACCAAGGTATGTGCCCTGGACTGGAATTGAACCCAGAACCCTTCAGTCCTTTGGCTGACCCTTCAACCACTGAGCCCACCGACTAGGGCTCTTAAGTACTTTTAAAGGGATAGATACCCCTCCCCATTCTTCAGTTAGTCAAAAACAGAAGATCATATTGTGTGTGTGTTGTATTGGCCTAAAAGCAGTAAGTTGTAAGGGTAGAACAAAGACAAGGAGGTGGGAATTAACCCACTGGCACCAGGGACAAAATATAATGAAAACCTAGATCAAAAATTAAGCCTCAGTGCAACCAGCCAAAATTATGTAATCTCAAGCACTGAAAATAAGTCTAATCATACTGTGTCACTTAGAGCATTAGAAAAACTTTATTTTTTTAAAATATATTCTCTATGGCAACTGGTAGCAGATTCCTTAAGCTGATACTTCTTTCTCTGCTTTAGTATTCTATTCTAACATATAACATGGTATTTTCAAAACATATTGATGAAGAAATGTTGTAGCATGACAACCCTGGATATTTTTTAGCTCTTTAATTGCTATAGTTATTGCATGAAAAGGCATTAAAACTTGGAGGAAAATAACTTTGAGCTATTGGTTTTTCTTTACAAACCATGTAGTAGTACTATTTCCCTTAGTCAATATACAACTTTAGTTCTGTGGCAGATATCTCAAATTATAATCAGAAAAAAGTTTAAATGCTGATGAGTTTGAATACAATCTATTTTTACTTTGTGGATGGCCCTCGAAGAAGTCTAAGTTATCTTCTTCCCCTTTTAATTTAGGGTGCATGAATCAAACTTGTTTATGTCAAGCTTCCTGATAGCTCTCCAGCCCATAAGCTTTACCACACAATGGCTAAGTTAGGCATTTTGCCACTGACAAACAAACTGCCTTCTGGACTCCTGAAAGCATTTCTCCTTCAGACTTTAGGCCTTACACATGCCAGAGAATCTACACAGGATAATACAACTCATACACCCATAAAACTCTGTGGCTAGTAAGCACTACAGCTGAGAAAAGGCCCTTCCATGTAACCATTCCTAAGACAACACTGTATTCTTGGAATAAACAGAACTAAGTGTTGACTAGTCATAAAATGGTAGAACACTGGTTCTTGGTCTTGGAAAATATACAGAAAATACTACACTGATATTCTGTGACCAAACCTCTTATTGGATCTGTATTCCCAGCTCCAAGCAGAGATTTGTAATATAGTGAACATTCAGTAACTTTTTGCTTTAATAAAAAGTTAACCACCCTAGGCAGTTTGACTCAATGGATAGAGAATTGGCCTGAGGACCAAAGGGTCCCGGGTTCGAGTCCAGTCAAGGGCATGTACCTTGGTTGCAGGCTGGGCCCTGGTTGGGGTGCATGCAGGAGGTAACCAATGGATGTGTCTCTCTCACATTGATGTTTCTGTCTTTCCCTCTCTCTTCCACTCTCCCTAAAAATCCAATGGAAAAATATCCTCAGGTGATCATTAACAAAAACAAACAAAAAGTTAACCAACACTGTATCTAAACTGAGGCAGAGACCAGTATATGGATTGACAGCTATGGAGGCGACACCTCAAAGATATCCACATCATATGTAACTCAAGGAGGTGAATGGCAGGTAGAAGTTGGCTAAGGTGTGGTGACATGCTCAAGAAACAAGAAGCAAGTTGTATGTCACTGAAACATGGAACCTATGCAAAAAAAGAATAGACAGAGGAGGTAATTTAGAAACCATACTGCAAAGAACTTATACCCTAAGAGAGGAAATTTTACCTGATTTGTTACTAAAAGCTGCTAGGGCTTCTCTGTTGTATTTTGTTTTGTTTTTTAGTAAGGAATGATTTGCTATGATCTGGGCTTGGAAAGATTAATATGGCAGTAATAGGAAGGATAGGTTGGAATAGGGCGAATGTGAAAGTTGAAATACAAATTAGAAAGTAACTAGTCCAGGTAAGAAATAATAAGGTCCATTTCCTAGAAGTGATAGGATAAGAAGGGGATGGGTAGATGGGTAGAGTCAAGATCTATGGAATTTGTCCTTGACTTTGCAGGCCTGCGCCTGGGTTTCTAGTACTATCAACAGATCCAGGGAAATTAAGAAGACACCTTGTTAGGATGAGTTGCATTTAATACTATAGGAATTAAGATGGCTAACAGTGTTAAATCAGAAATATTAGGCAAGTAGTTTAAATTTTCTGTATGGGTTGATGATGAAGCTCAAGTAATTCTTAGTAATGTAAGTATAAACATCCATTCTGAAACTATAATGGACATTGTTTTCCATTCCATGCTAATTATTTATTTTCTCTTCCAAAAATATGGCAATAAACCTTGTCATATTCTTCTATGGGAACCATGCAGGCTCTTATAAACACCTTAGAATTTCCTTTGAAGTTCCTAGTGAGCCTCACACATCACGTACCCTTTTCGCTTTTCAAACTGGAGAGAGGTAAAGGTGAGCAGAGGGCACAAGGCAGCACAGATCTATATTAACCATGGCCTAAAAGATCTTGGGAAACATAGTTAAGTAAGATAAAATATTACTTTGTTATTTTAGATCACTATGAAGACAGGGAAACTATGGCATAGAATAGAGGTTTTCAGGTTTTTTTTTCCATCTCATGACACATAAACTAAATACTAAAATTATGCGGCATACCAAAAAATATATTTTTTTACTGATTGGATTTGTTCATACTATTCGGCTATTGTGTTGGCTGTTGTCATTTTTTTATTTGACAATCTAAGGGAAAAGAGGTTAGTGCTCCTGACTTAATAGTCAGGTATTGCATAATGTTTTAAAAGTTCTTTCGGCACACTGATTGAAAATTGCTGACAAAAAAGATACATTTTATGTTAATTTCTAAATTAAAGCATATGAATCCTAAGAAACACCTAGGCCCCTCCCTGCTTTGTCCCTGACCCGACCCCCAGCAGTAAATGCACTGTTAGGCAATCAGTGCACATCCCCAAGGAAAAGTTTGAGCAGTGCAGTACTAGTTACATCTCTCTCTTCTATATTACTAAATTTACACTGCTGCAAAATTATTTGTAGCCAAGTATACTGTTGACAGTGACTATATATATATTCAGTTTCTCTTGTCTAGTTTCTTTTAAGCCCTGGGTGCTATTTATTCAAATAGAAACATACTTGAAACCAAGGATACTATGTCAGGCAGTTCAAGTGGCTACAATGGGACTCTGGCTAAGGAAAGGTGCATAAAACATTCTGTTCCCACCCAGCTTTAAAAATCAAGCTAAGACCCTGCTAACTTAGTGGTTGAGTGTTGACTCATGAACCCAGAGGTCATTGGTCAGATTCCAGGTGAGGGCACATGCCCAGGTTGCAGGCTCGATCCCTAGTAGGGGGTGTACAGGAGGTATTTGATCGATGTTTCTATCTATCCCTCTCCCTTCCTGTCTCGCTAAAATCAAACTAAATTGCTGCAATGTGTGTTGTTTCCATAACAAGAGTTTTGACATTCATTTCAAACTAGTATTAACAGCCACTCTGGATGTAAGCCTTCTATGCAAAGCAGTAAAGAATAAAAATAGCCATAGGTTTAGGACAGTAAATATGGACAGTAGCAATAGAAGTATATAAACTTCTAAGGCTGGTAAAGTTAATTCAGGCAAAGTGGTCTCTAATTCCTATCAGCACATGATTTCCAGGCCCCATAATCTAAAGTTTATAGTCAGAAAATTCTCCAATTTTTTAGCACCTTTTCTGTTGGTAAAAGTCTGAATATAGTAATGCCTATCTTATTCTGTGTAATTCAGACTTAAAGAAATCCCAACTCTATGATCCAATTTTTGAATTTAGAAGAGAGAACCTCTAAACTATTTTTATCAAACCTTCCTACAGGCCCTTTATGAGCCACTGGTAAGGAAAATATGGGAAAACAATAGGATGAGATGGGGGCCAAGGAAAAGAGCCTTCCTTCCAGTGGGGAAACCTCTTCAATAGGAGAGAAGGCCAGATTTATGATGGCCCTGCCTGTTTACAGGCATCTTCCCTGGTCAATATGCCCATGCCATCTTATTCATCCAATTTATTGCATGCACACTTACCCAACACCTGCTGAATGCCAAACACTGTGCTAAGTGGCAGGGATACTAAGTCACTGTCCAGAAGGTGTTCAGAGAGAAGATATGGAGACCAACCTTTCAAAAGATTAATGCAGACCTGTGGGATAGTTGCAGGTGATCAATATCCAGAGTTTATGGGCTCACGACAAAAGGCAGCTAACCCACCCCAGATTGTTTCATCTCCTTTTCCACCTGAATAGGCATAATCACAGACATGAACAGTCTAGAGGAGGACGCTCCCTGCATCTCTGGGATACATCTAAGATAGCAGCATGCACAGAAAACCAACTGTGGAATAGAATGAATTTCAGCTCTCTCACCACCTGTGTGAGCCTGAGAGCTGGACTGATCCTCTTGAGCTTCAGTCTCCTAACGAGTGAAATGAGATGATGACTGCTACCTCCCAGGGTCATTGTGAGGATTAAGAAAGATAATAATGGCTACATTTCTTAAGTGCCATGTCAATCACTGGTGACTGACACTACTTTCCATCCGGAAGACAAAACAGGCTGGGCACTTACCGTGTTAAGTGGCTCTCTCCGGAAGACAAAACAGGCTGGGCACTTAACGTGTTAAGTGGCTCAAGTGGCTCTTATCTGGGTCTCCACTGATAAGTGACTTACATCCCTTCTTAAATCTTCAAAACAACCCTGCAAGGTTATTCAGACTACTAACACTGGGGCGAAAGGATGATTGGATTTTGTGCCTCAAACCACACAACTTGAAAGTGATAGAATGAGATCTAAATCCAAGTTTGTCCAGACCTAGAGTTCTTAGATTTGACATAACCCAAGTATTTCATCTAGGAAATCACCTGGGATATAGTAGATGCTCAAGATAGACAGATTGTTTACATCCTGATGTTTTTTTAAATAACAAATTCCATGAAAGTGCTTTACAGTTTATCATTTTTCTCTAATATAAACAATTAAAAGGCTGCAAAGAAACACAAACCTTTCATGAGACATTATTTTTTGTGCAGTTAGGGTATAGGTTCATACACAGCTTCAAAAAATGTTGAGTGATAATAATTTGAATGAAAGGGAGCATTACCAAGCCTTTATCTTTATTACAAAAGATGCCTTTAATAGCTGACAGGTATTGTAACCAAAGGAGTGTGAATTTTTTTATATATTGCCAATTAAAATATATGTATTTAAGTAGAAAATCCATATGTTACAATTTCATCATTACAAAGTTTTAGAAAACTGAGTTCTAAATTGAGTTTTTCACACAGAAGTCAATTTCTTTGGGACACAGGATGAGTCACAGAAGAAAGAAAAAGATAAATAAATAAACCCTAAGGTTAGTAAAACCCCAAAATAGCCATTAAAATGGACCAGTAAGATTTATAAACATGCAAAATTCTCATTGGGTGGTTAAAACTATCAAAAGCATGAGTGCTATAAAGAAATAATTATTCTGAGTGGTAAATAAGGGGAAACACTTATTACTTGTTAAAACTAAAACCACAGCTAAGTTTTTATCCTCAAACATTGCTGAATTAGAAACTCTCCAATATTTTCTGTGCTGCGAGCTTTCTTGTCATTGGAAACTTCCCCACTAAAAAGCTGAAAGAAACACTTGTTTGTGAACAGGAAGGAATCATGCCCATGACAAATACATGAGTTGTCGATTAGCAGTTCTAATGTGGTACTTCTGTCAGAACTACCAGGCCATCATTGCTATGGTGATTTCTGGCAGCACCAAGGTGGGAATTTCAAATTAAAATGATTATCTGGCATGAAGATATATTTGCAATTAATGTTTTTGGGGGTTTTTTGGTAGGAAAGGCCCCAGATTGCAGCATCCATATTTTTTTGTTTCCAAATTAATTTGAGTCCTTGAGCTTTAATATTCAGAGGAGCTCTCATGAACCTATGTAGAACATTGCAAAATGCTTTTTGGTTATATAACATTGGTGTCTACTACATATACCACATATATTTTGAGTATATTCTAAGAAATCCAGTTTCTCAAAATCCACTCAATTCAGAATCAGATGCTGCCCATTCAGTCAGAATATGATTATAAACACTACAGTCAGCTAATGTATCCTCATTTCTATGAGATATATTTGAGCCTTTGAGTCATTAAACATGCTTTATCTAATAGAGATATTTGGTTGCAAGAGACAGAGTGTCTTTAACAAACGAAAGAGAACTTTGTTGGAAGGATATGGAAAAAATTTACCTCTTGGCCAGGGGACAGTAGGGGTCTTGATTCACATTTTCAATAGCATAGAGAAGTACTGCTAGTTCCCCAATGCAAAGTGACAATCCTCTCATGAGTTGAAAGATAAAAGGAGACTGCACAAAATCATATGCCCACCTTAAAACGGAGGAGCTGTGCTAATAATATCAACTATCTTAGAAGACAATGAGTTCCTTGTCTTTGGGAAAGGACAATCTCATTGAGGGAAGGGAATTTAGGTGTAAGATAAAAATTATACCAGCAATTCTCTGAATTTCAGCAAACAAAAAAGGGAACAGACAATATACAGGGAGAACTGATTTAAGAATTTTCCACTTAAATATGAATACATTAAAATGTAGGAATCTACCTCACTTACATTTCTCTTAGCAAATTCCCCTATCACTTACTCTCATAAGACTGCCATTTGTTTTCCTTATCACAGCTCTGATTTAACATGTATTTGAGTTATGTGATTAATGCTCATGTCCTTCATTGTATCTCAAGTTATAAGAAGGCAGGAACTCTGCCAGGTTTTGCACACTATTGTTACTGCAGCATCTCTAGAACAACATGTGGTGTATTATCTAACAGAATGAAATACCTTTAGAGAAATGTCAGTTGTGTGGCATCACTGCTACTACACCTTAGCAGAAAATAATAACTACATAGTAAGATTCATGATCATGAAAAATACTATTTGTAAATTAGAACCAGTCATCAGTATACTGACTACTATACTTTTCAAAAAAGGTATTCCTTGTCCACAAATCCGTATTTTAATCAGCGTCTCAGGACCTGATAATGAGTGGGAATATCTGCCTCCCCTAGGATAGAATGTACTGCAGGATGTTTGCCAGCTGCGTGGTCCTCAGAATCCCTCTATGGAGTTGCTTATGCAAATCCTCCCTCTTATAAATCTCTATCAGCCATCACTAGTCAAATTATGTTTGCCTAGTGTTTCCCTGTAAATCCTGCAAATCTGTTTCCTGTACTCTCCCCAAAACTGATGGGAAGTTAATCGCTCTATAATTGCTTGCTATGTTTCATGTCCCCATAATGAGTAATGTTGCCATGTTCTCATCCTCAACCACCTGATTTGTCAACAACAGTTCCTAGAGCTAAGAGGAGTAGAGATGAAAATAATGTAGTCGTAGCAAGACTTGAAATAGCAGAATTATCTCAAATAAAAGTAGGCTAATAAAAAGAGAAGAAATTAGCTAAACAAAGTATTGCCTAAATACAGATCCATTAAATATAGAACATTAAAGCTGACATAAAAGAGAATAAGGCTTTTTTTAAAAAAAAAAAAATCCTCACCCAAGGATATGTTTTTATTGATTTTAGAGAGAGACTAAGGGAGAGGAAGAGAGAAGCATTAATCAGTTGTCCCAACCAGGATTGGAACCTGCCACTTTTTTGGTCTATGGGATGACACTCCAACTAACTGGGCATTATAGATCTTCCCCCAACAATGTATTTCTTTTTCAAAACAAATCCTTACTTTTGAAAATATTTGGTAATTAAAACAACAGACCAAAAGTTCAAATTATAGGGTAGGCATAACATAATATACCTATGCAACACACATGAGGAAATGGTAAGTTATGAAACACATGCTTAAAAATACTGTAAAATCTTGCACAAACATGAAGATGCACCTTAGAGAATCACAAAAATACTATATTTTTAACTTGTAAAAATCAAAATTGAGAAAGGTATTTTCTCCTTTAAAATAACACTTTTAAATATAGGGAATCTATTATTTTACTCTTCTTTATGTGTGCTCTTTTAAATGCTCTGTGATAGAAGATTCAGTCCATGTTACTTAACCCAAGGTCATTTTTATGTATGACTCTATTTGTCCAGTTAATGTGAAGTTGGGAGAAAAGACTATAACCAGAGATGAAGAGTATCAATATATATTTGTGTCTGTGATTTTAGGAACTCTTCAACCACACAATTTATGCTCTGAATCCTAATTGTTAAGATTCAGTACCATCTCATGAATAAATATATGAAACCTATGGGTCAGATTTTCTTTGTGCGAAGCTCTATCAGTATTCACATGGAAAGTATAAGATTTTAGATCTTACCTATTATTTCAGACACTTCAGTGCTTTGAGTCAGTCTTAAATGGCAGGGCCTGGGATTCTGTTCCCCCTTTAGTGCAGTCAGCTAGGATTTTAGTGTTTATAGAAATAAAACATTAAAAAGTAATATTTCCCATAGCAAACATTGAGAGACTCAGGTGCTTTACAAGTCCAAGTTTTGGTGTGTTTTTTTTTTTTACAATGTAACAATTTTTGTAAAACAGTTTTAACTCTAAATGATGAAAATCCTACACAGGAATGACTGCTACATTTTTAATGCACCCACAAGAGAAACCTATTTTTTGGTAATCTTGTAAGTAGGAGAAAAAGCCAATTTTTCATGTTCAAGAAGTGCTGACTATAAGACAAGGATTTGGTGGAACTCGTTTGCATCTATAGCACCTTTTGGGACCTCCTGGTTCCTCCCAAACTTAATTTCCCTTATTAATAAGGTAAATCTATTAAATTTCTTTTTCTAATGCATTAATCAAATTAGAAATGAGAACTATCCTGGTGTCTTTTGCAGAAGGTCATGCATACAAGGAAGAGGCATATGGAACTGTTTCAGGAATTAAATCAGAAATTTCAAACTTTGGACAGATTTCGGGATATACCAAATACAAGCAGTATGGTGAGTATTTTTTTGCTTCATCAGTACTTGATGCCATGCTAATAATGTGTCCCATTAGCTATTATCCCTGCCCTCCAGGAGCTCCTATTTGTCTTGGGAACAAGACTTGGATCTGTAGAAAAAAATAACCCCCCCAAAAATGTACTTTGGAATGTGCTAAGAGGCAAATTAGGAATGACAGAATCTTAAAGCATTTTTATTCATATTTCAGATGCTCTCATTTATAAGTTTTAATTGAAATTAGTTATATATCAAAAATATGTTAGCTTCACCTGGCATTTTTATCAGAGTTAAAAATTAACTCAATATACAGATAATTAATTTTTTCCATTTTTTTGAAGGCCTGCATTTTAAGGTTATAAAATGTAACCTGAAACCAGAGTGGTCGGTTTTATTTCCAGGAGATTTGGGATACATATCAACACTGAGGGCTTTGACTGCTGATGTGATCATTCTCTTCTCATTCATTCCCACTACTACAATCCTAACATCTGACTTGATCAAATAAAATGATATTTTGTGGTTACTACATGCATGGCACAGTCAGAGCTCTATGGAAGCTGCATAATTATTTGTGAGTCTAGAAATC